AACCCAGAATCCAACCCCCTCCCCCATGGAAGAAGGCAGTGATGGAATAAGATGATGCTTGCTAGTCTGCACTGGCCCTGCCGCTAGTGCTCAAAGAAGGTGATGCAAAATCAAGTGCCCCATCTCTAGACACCCCCCGCCGGCTCGCTGAGGAGAGAGGTGGGCGGGGATCCTACCATGCACCCGACGCTGCGCTGCCTAACCAACCGATAGGCCAGGAGTTTCCTAGGCTGCGGCCATAAGCATAAGAGGCCCAAATCAGCCTTGGGAGGGTCAAAGGATGTGCTAGGTGCCAGCAAAAATGACTACAATGGGAAACCGCCCTGATGCAGGTAGGGGTGGGCGCCTCTGCGGTAGCTTGTGGAGGCCTTAGAGGCCTAACAAGACCTGGGTAGGGAGGGGGGGCGGCTGCTGGGGAATCACCACCCCAACAACCCTGGATGTCAGAAAGGGTGGGTGCCGCTGGGATCCCAGCCACCCGATGAGCCTCACTGCCCCTTGCCAATACGTCTCCCAACCCAAGGGAAAGGCCCTACTGTCACCGCCGCCGGCCCAGGCTGATCTCAGGGGTGAGAAAAGGACAGAGAATGGCTGAAAAATGGGGCTTTGAGGGTAGCAATGAAGGCGCCCAGCAAGACCACCTCCCTGAACCCTCCCAACCAAGTCCCCCAAAACCTGTTAGCTTGGTCCTCCGCCACGTGGGTGCCTCCACTGCACAGCCTGCACAGCTCCCATCCACATTAGAGTTTGCGCTGGGCTGATCTGAGCGGGGAGGGCGTCTGCCGCCACACCTGGCCAGCCAGCTCGCCCTTGATTGGACCGCACTCCTGTGCTGAGCCAGAATTGGCTTGCTCCACCCACCTGGTTCATTCAAGAAGGGGGGGGCAGGCAAACGTCCATGCCTGCTCCAGGGGCAGTCATGGCTCTTTTATGGTTTGCATTAGGGTTATTTAATTTGATTTTAACTTGTCCAGTGCCTTGAGCATCTTTGGATGGAAATGCAGTTGTTGAACAGACTAAATTTTTATTTATTAGTTAGATTTTTACCCCGCCCTCCCAGCTGAGGCCGGCTCACGGCAGCTTACATAAAAACAGTATAATATAAAATATAACATCTGTTAATACATAAGAATTCTTAAAACCATAAATATAATAAAGCACTAGTGCCTAGTTTCCTCATTATACTGTCAGTTCCTTGGTCTTCTTTGGTTATCCTGGGCAGTCAATTCGGGCAGTAGTTGGAGGATCCAGGGGATCAGGGCTCTCTCATCATAGGCTATCAGATGTCAGTAGTACTGACAGTACTAAACAGTACTTGTTATTGCTTTTAGGGATTGAGTTTTCATCTGCCAAAAGGGGAGAAATTACATCAATAATGATAACTTCTTGGAGAGAGTTTTATTTTAAGCATCCCTCCCTCCCTTTCTGTGAGAAGAAAAGCTCTATCAAAGATGTCACCACTGATCGTCTATATAATTGGTGCTGTATTAATTTTAGGAATGCAAATTTAACCAACTGGGTTGCATCTCTGGGCTGAGGTCACGGCTTTCTCTGAATCAACTTGCCAGTGTCTTGCTTATCAGTTAGATTTCATTGAAAATTGATATATGAAAAAAAGAGATTCAGGATAATGAGTGAGCCTGGCTTGAGTCACAATGAAAATATAACCTGTATGTCAATGGTGTACACAGAATAGTTGGTTGACAGCCCTTATTGTACATCCCTGTTTGAACACTTTGAAAAGTTTTGTTTTGAAATGATCCAGGTTTATTGATAGAAATAAAGTTATATGAAGGGATTAAATTTTGTACTTGGTACATGTGCCATTTGTCCTTGGTTAGCTGAAGAACATCTTCCAATAGTAGTTGATTGTTTTACAAGGTGTCTGTTTCTTACATTACATGACTTGTTAAAGTTACCCTTGATCTTGAGACCTTTCATCACCTCCTTTTTTCTGAGCCCTGATGATGTTTTTGCCACCTTCCTCATTGACTTCTGTTATGCTCATTATTTGAGAAAGTTTTCATGAATAAGGCATGCTTTGAAAAATTCTACTGTGACAATGAATAATTACATCAGAACCATGTATTTGAGATAAAACTTTCTTTTACTTAAACTGAAATACATGAATATACATGCATGCGTGTGCTCATACACACACACAATATACTCACCCAATTATTTAAATATGCAATTTAGTTTTAATTCCTTTACACTCAAGGAGTGGAAACCAAGGAAAATGCATTAATTATCAGTTCCTTCTTAATGGAATTCCTGTTCAGTGGGAACGTCATTCATTGCTCTGTGCATTAATAATTTAGGCTTTCTAGCAGACAGCTGATCTTATCCATCCAGTAAAAGGACTGGAGCTCAAAAGCCAGGGAATGGTGCACCTTGTCTTTTGTTTGATTGCCTAGGTAAGATACAAAGGGGGTATGGATCTGCTGACTGCCCTCTCATTAACACTGATAATTGTTGGCAGTGAAAGTGGTAACACACCCAGAGAAATCTGTATGCCCCACATTTTGGTAGCATACATTAAGTCAGCTGCGAAAGCTGCTCAACATACACAAGGGGTATATATCGTAGAGTCCTTGCCACAGAAAGGGCCAAATATTTTTCTTCTTAAAGGGCTAGATGGGTAGATAGAAACTTCTTGATTGTGCAAAATGACTCTCTCTCCAGAGTTTTTAGTATAATGAGGGCAGTATTCCAAGCCACTGGAATTTGTGTGACAATTTGCCTGTCATTACAAGGGATGAAAAAGCAGATTTTAAAAATTGAAATGTAGGAGGATAGAAAGGAAATAGCCTGAAGATTCAGCCTTATAAATCCACAATTGGAAAGAATGGATGGAGAGAATGACATCATGCCAATCTTGATATCACTTTTTGTGAATATCTGGAAGTGACATCACTGCACTGGATTTGGGCCAAACCATACAGCTTTGGCCTAATCCTAAACCATTGCACCTGGACAGTGACATCACTTCTGGGTATTCACCAGAAGTGATATTGTGCCATTGGAATGACACCGATTTCCCCTAGCAATTTTCCCAGCGACCCAACTGAGCAGCAGTGGGAAGAGCAGGTAGTGTGTGGAAGGTGTTCCACTGGAATGGGAAACCTGGTGACTCTAGTTTCTTAATGTATTTTTATTGGGGCTGTTGTAAAGGCAGAAGGTTCTTCTTCAATCCTTTCACCGGCACTATTTTCCTGGTCGAAAGTTAGAAAATTACCCCTTTCCCAATCTGTTATTAGTCCCAGGGGGGGAAAACCCAGTTTCATTATGGGAGCCTCCATTTCTTTTCTTACTGAGCCTAATAAAGGGAACTGTTGTAAAGGCAGAAGGTTCTTCTTATTCAGTCCTTTCACCGGCACTATTTTGCTGATCGAAACTGGGAAAAACCCAGTTTCATTATGGGAGCCTCCGTTTCTTTTCTTACTGAGCCTAATAAAGGGAGGGGGATTTCTACCAGGAAGTGGCATAGGGAAAGGGTTAATCACCACATCTCTAATCCAAATCGTTGCCTGGATATTTTTTTTTTAATATTAAAACAGTTGCTTGGGGAATCTGATCATATATCTCTTACCCAATGTGCAGTTCAGCCTTGAATAGTGATTTTGTGACAAGGTGCCAAGAAGACTGCCTTCTAAGATAATGAATATAATTGTACACAGTTATGACAAAAGAGGGGAGTATTTAAATATGTGAATATTTTCTGTCCACAACTGAACACTTCATTAAACATGTTACTCTCTTAGGGGTAAATATTTCCAACATGTGTGTATAGTTACATGTATAAACTGCATGACCATAGTAAACTGCTTCTTTTTATTCCAAGGAATAGCAGCTGTAGCATCTTGAAATGAAAGTCTTATTTTTATATGTGCTGTGTACTTTTTCAACTACCTACTCACATTTTTTTTATCCTGTCCAGTTTCCAAAAAGCTCAGGATGCACACACAGTTTTTTCCTTCTCTGTGGTGTAGCAGTTCGAGTGTCAGACTAGGATCTGGGAGACTCAGGTTCAAATCCCCACTCTGAGGTGGAAGCTTGCTGGGTGATCTTGGGCCAGTCACATGTGATCAGCCTACTCTAGCTCACAGGGTTGCTGTGAGCATAAACTGAAGAATGCTGTAAGCCACTTTGGGTCCCCATGAGGAGAAAAAGTGAGGTATAAATGAGGCAGATAAATACATTTTATCATTACATCCACCCTTGGGCTGAGAGAGGGTGACTAGCCCCAGGTCATCCAGTGATGTTCATAGCTGAACAGTCATTTGAAACCAGGCCTCCCCAAGGTAAGTCCAACTATACCACACCATGTTCCAAACTTCTTGTAATATTCGGCTTATTAATTGTTCTCTCCTACCTAAATATCCTTTTTGTGCCTTCTTCCCTTTAGTCCTCAGGCATCAGCAGTATAGAATACAATATTGTGTAATCTCATGTGAATGGATTTTAAGAAGTACTTCATTCCCTCCTGTCAATAGTAGCTATGTTCTGAAGTCACCCACATTTAGGGTACCCAATCTCCAGGTGGGCCCTGGAGGTCTCCAGGAATTACAACTCATCTCCAGACTACAGAGATCAGTAACCTGAAGAAAACGGCTGCATTGAAGGGTGGATTCTCCAGACTGAACCTTCTCAAGTCCCTCAGCCTTTCCTCATAGGGCTTCGTCTCCAGGCCCCTGATCTTCCTCGTCACTCTCCTCCGTACCTGCTCCATTCTATCCACAACCTTTTTGAAGTGAGACCTCTAGAACTGCATACAATAATCCAGGTGCAGCCTGACCAAAGCAGTGTACAGTGTGACTATGACATCTTGTGATTTGGATGTTATGCCTCTGTTGATACACCCCAAGATTGCATTAGCCTTTTTTGTTACCACATCACACTGGCTGCTCATATTTAACTTAAAGTTCCCCCCTTAGGTTTATTGACACAACACCCCTCCCAAATTTTAGGCATGGGGAACAAAGACAGGGAACAGTCCATCAACTGAAGACCCCACCTCTGATAGGAATGCTCTCATTCAATCTGTGTTCTATCAGCTTTGTATCTTCCAGGTCATCCTTGATGATGCTGATTAGGTGACTCAAACCTTCTTGTTGTTGCTTCAGATGTTGCT